AAAACACTTTTATTTAGATGTCTTTTATTTAATTTTGGTATAATTCCTGCTCTAACTGGGTCGCTGTGCGAGCTAAAGACATGTTTTAGATTCTCTTTACTCCAGTTAACGATTAATCGATTACTAAATTTGTCGTTATTTCAGTAATCATTTATTCTGATGAATTGTTTCAGATAAAATACATGATATGGGTTAAATAGAGTAACTACAGCCTAGATGACTTGTAGAGTGAAATTAATATTTTAAATGCTCAGTTCCAGTGCTCATGTAAATACAATAAATTTAGTTGGTGTTATTTGAATCTATTATTATGCTTTGTTTCATGATACAGAGAATATTTCAAAAATCTGTACAATTGTATATTTTCAAAAGAAAAAACAGGATAAATCCACATATAACCGCCATATTTAGACTATATTTTGTTAAATAGGCACATATTTACTTTCTTAGTCGCTAGTAATTTCAAATGCAAACCATTTCAAAGTGAAAAAAGTCCTAATTCGTCATTCATCAGAGCCGATGATGCTTCAAACATTGATAAACAGCCTCTAATGTGTGTAGTGCTTATAAAATTTGTACAAATGAAGCAAGAAATGCTGCTTTTCTCTTTAGACAAAATACACCCTGATTTTCACGTCAAGCATAAAAAAACAAGCATGCATATTTCTGCAAAGGACCAATGACATCAGACCAATGGTGTCTCTACCAAAGTTGAAATCAAACCTACGCCCTTGGGTCTGGGCCAAACTGCAGGAAAACTGTAGACCCCACACCAATGAGGGTGACATTTCCTGAATCCTGACAAAAATTCCTACGTTTGAGTAAAATTAATTGAGTGAAAAATGAGGGAGTGAGAAGAATTTGTTCAGAAAAACCAAAACAGCTCAAAAGCTAGAGCATGCAACTCTGACAGTTAAAGAATTCCGCCCATAGACTTCCATTATAAAGTTGAAAAACTGAAAAAATGTGTGTAAAGTTTAAATCCCAATTTTAAAAAAACCGCAAAAGATATCAAAACGCTGAGTGAACTCGGAATAGCTGAAACTTTGAGGAACGATTTAATAGTTGAACGGTGTTTCTAGCTTAGAGTACGCTGAAGTAGTTCAAGTTTCGTGGAGTTGGTGAAGTTTTAGCTGAATTTTGCTGAAATCTTAGAATTCTACATGCATTTCAATGGGACAAAAAAAACAAAAAAAAAAACGCTGAATATCGCAAAAACTACAACAAATATATTTACCAAAAGTTATAGCATAACCCTTCAGAAGAAGCTGAGCGTTTTAATATCAAAATTGTTAAAATCAGTTGAAAATTGCGGGACTAGTTTAAGTCCATAAAATAATAAGAGAAAAAACAGTAAGTGGGAAAATTCCAAAGAATTCCCACAGTTTTCATTTTTCATTTGGATGAAATAATAGCTGCATGAATCATGACAGCAGACAAGATAGA